GCAATCATCATTCCGAGGTCGATTGGCACCCGCACAGTCGCTGAAAACTGAAGGCTGACAAATGAGGCTCAGACAAGAAGTGGTTTGAGGTTGGACAACATGCCTGAATCCCATTAAGCAATTCCTGACTAATACCAGAAAAACGCTTCTCAAGTTCAGGGATCATTCTGTCCAGACAAGGAAACAACAATTTCCTTTTAAGCTCTTCTGACACAGAAGAGCCACAGACTTCACTGCCTGCCCCACAGGTTGACTCAACAACAAATCCATTCATTCTCTATTTTTTTTCTGCCTCTCTCCAGAAGACTGCTTCAAAACGGCTATCTGGTTTGCCACACACATAGCCTTTGTTCTTGCATGAAGATCTATAGCAGTGGCATCACTGCACTTCTGCTTCAATGTCTCAACCACTGCATCTTTGTGTGTCTGTGCCTGGGCAACATCTATGGTCTCCTTCTGTAGGTATCTGTGTAAACATTCAGTTACAGACAGTAGATCCTTTAAAACAATCAGCAAATACACTGAGGAGAATTTACTGAGTTTTGCCTTCAATCCCACTGCAATAGGTGTGTTGATAGAGGAAAGGCGCTCAATGATGGCAGGGAAATTGTTAAGCACAGCCGTTACTGAACGAACATGGCATGCCCAGCGTGTGTTTGACAACTGCGCAAGTTCACTTTGCCCCAATCCTAATTTCTTCTGAGTGTCTTATGATGGTTTACAAGAGAAGCACTAAAGAAGGAATGGAGACTTTCAAGCATGTTAAAGAACTCTATGGTTTCGGTAACAGCTCTGCATGTGTGACATAGGATGAGATTTAACTCATGTGCATAGCAATGAACATATATGGCCTCAGGGTGCTTCTTTTGAAAATGGGCTTGCACACCTCCAACTGTTCCGCTCATGACAGCTGCTCCATCATAGGTCTGTGCCACACATTTCAACCGCTCAATTCCCTTCTCTTGCAGCTGATTCTCAATAGCAGTATTTATCGATGCAGCATCAAACTTTTGCACTTCTGTCAGGGCTAGGAACCTCTACTACACCTTCCACAGACACATACCTCACACAGAGTGCCAACTGTTCCGTCCTTCCATAGCCTCATCAGCCATAATGGCATACATCTGTGATTCCTTCATCTCACGAACAATAGCTGCAGTTACTTCTTGTGAACAACATTCAATCATCTCATTCTGACTACTACAAGAGATGTACGTGGTGTTTGATGGGGGGGTGTATCTCTGCAAGAATGGATCAAACAAAGGTTTTATGCACTCGCGGAAATTCCCTTTATTGTCACTCTCTTCTGTTTCGTCATGACCTCGAAATGATATTCCCTGCTTCCCCAAAAAGCAAGTCACTGCCACAATACGTTCCAGATACTCCCTTCTTTCACTTACTTCAGTGGCACTTGCTGCCTCTATCTGTTCAACAATATTGCCTTGTGACAGACTTGCTTTATAGCTGTTCCAACAAACTACACTGTCCTTGTGTGACTGGGTGGCTTCATGTTTTTGAAACTTGCTCAGTGCTTTTTGCCAGTTACTGACTCCATCATTCACTAATGTG